GCCCGCCCCCCCCGGGGCGCTCGCGGGGCGGCGGCGGCGGCGCGACCGCGACCGCCGCGCGCCCAACGGTCACTTCCCCTCGCGACACCCCCCCAACACTCCCCCCGATCCCCGCCCGGAGGGGCCGCAACGCCCTCTCCTCACCCTCACCCCGAGCGCGACCGAGCCCGCGGGGGTGGAGGGCACACGCTGCGCTCGCGCTCTCTCTCTCTCTCGCTGTGTTAAAGAATGGCCGCCTCCGCCGCGCTGCTCCTGCTACACCGCGGCAGGGAGGGAGAGAGAGAGGGAGGGAAGGAGGGAGGGAAAGAGGCAGCAGCGGCGCGCACGCCGGCGCGGGGAGGCGAGACGGCGCGGGGGCGCGCGGGGGCCTTGCCGCCACGCGGGTGCCCGCGGAGAGCGCCTGGGCGGCTCCCCGAGCGGCGGAGGCGCGCCCGGAGGGGTCCTTCAGGCGCGCGGGGGGCGCCCCCGCGCCACACACAATAGGCGGGTTCTCCTCAGATCGCGTCGCGCCTCCCCCGCCGCCCTTTCCAGCAATAAATGTGACTCCAAAACATGTTTTCCGCCTTTCCATGCCCTAGGGCATGTCACTAAACCCGTGCGGCTGTAATTGGCCCGTAATAACCGCGGTTCAGTCACTGGGAACGGTTGCCTCATTTGCCTTTTGCTCAGGGATTTGTGTTTCCAAATGACTGTCCCTGCAATCCCTACAAAACGTGTTTGATTTTAGTTCTACACGTTTCAATGGCACAAAGCACTTGGTAAACCTTTACTTCTATGATAACAATTAATTACTTAAGAATTACTTGAATAACAATTAATTGCTCGAATATTAATCTAAAGACATACTGAAATAACATCAGGCTTTCTGTGAATTAAAGGAGATTTTTGGGTGAACACTGCCTGCTTAGTGAGGTACAGCTGGAAAATGCCTTCAGCAGGCCGGAAGCTATATAGGAAAGGGTTTAGGATTTATTCTGTTGTCTTTCTGGAATTAATTAGTGGAAGATTTTGGGAATATGAATCTCTGGAAATTCAGTTCACAGTAGTTGCAAACTGGAGATGGAGTTTTGGTTGTAATACTGATTTAAGACAATATTTGTGCCATTGTATTTTAGAGCTGATTTTTCCTTTGATCTTGTTCAACCATGGATCCACACAACTGATGACATTGACATAAGAAAAATACCAATTTCTTGAACAACTGGGCCAACCTGATGGTTCTGCATCACCAAAAGAGCGATGTCTCATGGCCCTTCCTCACCAAATCCTTGCCTTTGTTTCCACCCTGATTCTTTCTTCCCAGGATTTACTTCAAATTGATAATCCAGGAGTTACTTCAAGTTGATAATCCAGCAATAAGCTGTTTTCTCCTGCTGGTAGTGGTTAATTTTGAATGGTCAGATTTTTTTTCTACATCTGTAAATATTGTTTCTTTTGCTTCTACTTTGCTGTATTCTTTCATTTGCTGTAGCACCTCAATGCTTTGTCATTTTTATTTTAGGTCATTTGCTTTACAAATCACCTTGTTTTCCATAACAGGTTATAAGACAAGTAACTAATCACCCATCCCAATTACTTCAGTTGAATAAATAAAGTATAAAACCAAAATCTTCAAATATTAAAGGTCCATTTCTTCACAAAGAAGATTTTGTTAATACCATTATATTTACAAGATTTCATTTTTATGCATTAAATTCTCCCAGGTCCATACACAGGGTTTGGAATGACCTCTTCCCCCAAGTCAAATGTAGTTTTTTCATGAACATGTGAAGCACTTGAGGTTTTTTGACCACAAAATGTGAAACTTTAAAATCATATGGATTTGTTTCATCCATTCCTATTCATTTCTCCTTTTTCTCATGTTGCCATTGCAATTCTCCATAAGCTCTGGACTCGGGCAAATTTTTCAGCCAAGCCCTAATAGAGTTTGTACTCAAAACTTGTCTTGCAATAAAAGAAAAGTCAGCGCTGATGGGAGAAGTGGGGACAATAAATTAAGAAAATGTGATGGACCAATAAAACCCTCTTCTTGTCCACCAATGTAAAATGTTTATCCTTCACGGGAAAGTGAAATGCAAAGTAGCAAATGTTTATGGTCTCAAAAATAAAAGAAGTTAAAATGCTGCTCCTGAGAGCAGTTATTGTAGGAGAGTACACAGTTGATCTCAGCTCCTAAAATATCTCTGAATACTTAATGTGCTCATAATTTTAGGCAGGTCATGCTGTGAATTATTAATCTACCTCTTTCATACCATTCCTCTAGAAACAGTGACCACAAGTTCATCATCCTGTGCCAACAATATTGATCATCGATGTCTGACAGAGAAAACCCCACAGAAGGATTCCCGACCATCAAATAGGAGCTGAGAACTCAACCTCTTTGCTTTAAGGAAGTGTTGAAACCACTTCTGATCTGGGTGTAAACTCTGTGCTGGCAACTTCCAGCGTGGCAAACTTGGAATTAGCATGTGGGTCTCAACATTTACATTTCTGAGAGATGAGTATCCCCCTCACTTACCACGTGGAGTAAATCTGGATTCAGGTCTCTCTGCTCTTGACTCTTTGATGTCAGTACCCAGCTGAAATCACACTTCAGCATAATTATGGCGCAGATCAAATCTTATTTTTAAGGAACTGGCCTTGTATTTCACATCTGAGCTGTGTCAATAAATGTCAGCTCCCGAGTTGTTGATTTTGGAGTCATATACAGTCACTACAGAAAGGCAAGAGAGGAGAGAAAGCCCCCCACAAATGTGAACAGAATTGCTCAAGATGAGGGAGATCTCCTCCTCCCTGCAGAGAGTGTGGCGATCCAGTTTAGGAGACACTTGGCTTTGCTCTTCATGTTCCAGGGAGCATCTCCCATGCCAGATCTCTCTGGGTTTATATTCATCATCATTTTACATCACCTGCAATTGGGAAGTCTGAATTACACTGTTTCTATGTCTCACTTCCCAGCCTTCAGAAGGGCAAGGCCAGAGACATGTGTGTTTAAAACACATATAACCAGCCAGTTACAGGGAAAAAAAACAAGAGGGGGAAAGAAAGTCTTCATCTGTTTGGTGTAATCAGGGCTCAACTGTTGTATAAATACTTGGTGGGAACACAGAGCCTCCCCAGTGAAATACTGTCTCGGGCAGGGTTCCCTGACCTTCCTTTACATCACTTTTGTTACCCCTGGCACACATTCCCAGCCCTTCCCACTCCAGATTTCCTCCCTTTGCCCACTTGCTCGGGGACTTTCAACCAAGCTAAGCCTTGCCACTCCCTCTGGGGAAAATCCTGCAGGGAAGTACTGCTAGTCCTCTGCCCCCTTGTTCTTTCTCCAAGGAAAAAAAGGAAAAATTATGGCTTTTTCCCAGTGTCCTAAAAGCTACTTCCAAGCAAGAGTGAGTTCTCACGTTAGTTCCTTGGGAGCTCCAAGCTGTGTCTTCCTGCAGCTCTGCTTTGTTCTGGTCATTCCTGTACAGAAAACGCAAGCACACAGATAGAGATGTTCTCCCTCCCCAAACCTGCTATCCCATGCCTGTGTCCTTCCATCTTCCTGTTCCCCACTTATCCAAAACAGCTCATTCAACTTATCCAACTGGTTCTACAGCTCACCAGCTTTCCCACCCTGTTCCCTACTTCCCCAAATCAGGAACTCTGACCCATGGTATGCAGCGTTCTTTCCTTAATTGTCACATCTACTCCCTCTGCATACTCAGAATTATTCTGAAATTCATATAAATTTTTCTATGTTGGGTTGGATTTTATTTTTTTAAATAGGATCCACAAGACTGAAATGAAATTTCTTTCTTGCACTTTACACAGATCTATTCATCCAGCAGTTCCCTGACTGATCTCATGGAATCTTATGGGATTTCAGTATTGCCAGTACTCTGTCATGTTCTTGAGGTTGTTAAAGTTGAAAAGCAGATCCCATTCCACTGCCGATGCACAGAAAATAGGAAACACCAACTTCTATTTCCAGTTCCCAGATTTAATACACAAGGATTATGGTTATTAGGTTTTGAGAGGGGCCAAGTCTGCAAATTTCAAAAGCTGGAGTTCCTCCTGCTTGTCAGGCAGTTTTAGAAAGTTATCACTTTGTTTTTTATTTGGGTTTCCTTTTCCCACAGGAATTTGCTCAAAGGAGAGAAATTCCAACTCTATGGAAGGCCACAGGCTGCCTAACTTTCATAACAAAATCAAACTCAGACAAAATAAACTTCCCTGAATAAGGATTGAAAGCTCAGTGTATGTTTTTCATCTGAATAAAATTAAAATACAAGTTTTTTATCACAAATGTTAAACACTGATGTCTTAGGAGAAAAATCAATTAAAAATTCAGGAGGTATTTGAGTTCAGAGGAGATTAAATGATGTCTAATGGTATGCTCAGTCAAAACTAGCATAATTCCAATCCAATACAGAAAAAAATTGATTAAATGCTACTAAATGATAGATCTCCCTACACAACCATTGATCATCATAAATCATTATAAAATGTATTTCTGTTTCTATTGATGTCACACAGTTCTTCAACCATTTCAGGGACCAGTTGTTTACAGAAGCCTTCAGCTGCAGAACCAGACTGGGACCCACCTTCACTACACAAACTGTACACAAAAAGCAGATTAAACCTCCATTTATGGACAAGGAGTAGGTTGGTCCCACATACCAAAGAAATCTCAGCACTGGAAAGTAGTTCAAAAGTGCCCAGGGCTTTATATTTACCTGAATTAGCTCAAGTGGATGGGCCCAGCTTACCACAGTATCCAGGATGTTTATACCTGTCCTCCCTCTAATTTACTTTTTCACTCATCTTTTTGCATTTGTAAATTATATCAAGTAATCATATCAAAATTATGTCAAGTAATTCTGTCTTTATTTCCTTATTATTAAGTGTTACAACAAATGCTCCAACTAAAGCATCTTCCTAAACAACAACGTTCTGTTCAATTGTGGGGAATTTTTTTCACTTGTCAGCCACTTTACTGTATCACACCAGTTTAAATCACAAGACTGTAAATCAAATTTAGGCTTATCACAGTATGAGTATCTTAGATCTCTGCTTCACATCTAGAGAGGTTGTCAGCCAAAACTTGTAATCACCTCAAAAAAATGTTCTTTTTTGTTTCAAAGAGATGTGCTGTATAACTGTGGAGAAAAAAGGGCTCTCACTGAAAGGATATTCAACCCAGTGCTGAAAAGTATCATAAAAATCAATAATTGGAGGGCAAAGATACTGTTAGGGAGCAGCCAGGGCCTGCTGCTCCTGGTGGGAGGCCAAAATTTACTGAAGTAATGTGGGGCTCATGATGTGTCTAATACCAACTTTTTACCTTTATTTCTAT